TTTTGTCTTTGCTTCTGTTAATGTGGTTTATTACGTTTATTGATTTTCTATGTTGAACCACCCTGCATCCTGGGATGAAGCCTACTTGGTCTGGAGAATAATCTTTTTGATGTGTTGTTGAATTCGGTTTGCCATTATTTGTTGAGGATTTTTGCATCAATGTTCATTAAGGAGATTGGCCTATAGTTCTCCTTTTTGGAGGTGTCTTTGCCTGGTTTTGGGATAAGTGTAATACTGGCTTCATAAAATGTGTTTGGCAGTTTTCCTTCCTTTCTATTTGTGGAACAGTTTAAGGAGGGTTGGTATCAGTTCTTCTTTAAAGGTCTGATAGAATTCAGCAGAGAATCCATCAGGTCCTGGACTTTTCTTTTTGGGGAGACTCGATTGCTGTTTCAATTTCATTTTGTGTTATAGATCTATTCAGGTGATTAATTTCCTCTTGGTTCAGTTTTGGATGATCATATGTATCTAGAAATCTGTCTATTTAAGATTTTCAAATTTATTTGAATATAGATTCTCGAAGTAGTCTCTGATGATTTCCTGTACTTCCATGGTGTTTATGGTTATCTCCCCTTTTGCATTCCTGATTCTACTAATTTGGGTTTTTCCTCTCCTCATTTTGGTCAGGTTTGCCAGGGGTCTGTCAATCTTGTTTATATTTTCAAAGAACCAACTTTTTGTTTCATTAATTCTTTGTATGGTTTTTTTGGTTTCTATTTCGTTTATTTCAACTCTTATTTTTATTATTTCTCTCCTTCTATATGTTTTGGGATTTGCTTCTTCTTGTTTTTCTAGGAGTTTGACATGTATCATTAAGTTGTTGATTTGGGATCTTTCAGTCTTTTTAATATATGCACTCATGGCTATAAATGTTCCTCTCAGGACTGCCTTTGCTGTGTCCCATAGGTTCTGGTAGGTTGTGTTTTCATTTTCATTGACTTCCAGGAGCTTTTTAATTTCCTCTTTTATTTCATCAATGACCCATTGTTCATTAAGTAATGAGTTATTCAGTTTCCAGCTGTTTACATGTTTTTTGTCTTTACTTTTGTTGTTGAATTCTAGTTTTGTTGCTTTGTGATCAGATAGTATGCATGGTATAGTTTCTGTTTTCTATATTTGTTGAGTCTTGCTTTGTGCCCTAGGATATGATCTATTTTGGAGAAGGTTCCATGGGCTGCTGAGAAGAATGTATATTGTGTAGAAGTTGGATGAAATGTTCTGTAGACATCAACTAGGTCCATTTGATCTATTGTGTTTTTTAGATCTTGGATTTCTTTATTGATTTTTTGTTTGGATGACCTATCTATTGATGATAATGGGTGTTAAAGTCTCCCACAACACTGTGTTGGAGTTAATATATGCTTTTAGGTCTTTCAGGGTATGTTTGATGAAATTGGTTGTGACATTGGGTGCATACAGGTTGATGTTATTATTTCCTTTTGGTCTATTTCCCTTTTATTAGTATGGAATGTCCTTCTTTATCTCATTTGATCAATGTAGGTTTGAAGTCTACTTTGTCAGAGATAAGTATTGCTACTCCTGCCTGTTTTGGGGGCCATTGGCTTGGTAAATCTTCTTCCAGCCTTTCATCCTAAGCTATGCTTATTTCTGTCAGTGAGATGGTCTCCTGTAAGCACAAATTGTTGGATCTTCCTTTTTAATCCATTTGTCAAGTGTGCCTTTTGATGGGTGAATTAAGTCCATTAACATTAAGTGTTAGTACTGATAGGTATGTGGTGATTCCTGTCATTTAGTTGTCTTAGTTGTTTGAAGGTTTGATTGTGTGTACCTAAGTTGAGGTTACTCTCTACTTCTTGCTTTTTCTTTTCCTGTGGTTTGGTGCTGCCTGTCTTTCATGGTTAAGTTGGGTTTCACTTTCTGTGTGCAGAATCCCTTGAAGAATCTTTTGTAGTGGTGGCTTTGTGGTCACATATTGTTTTAGTTTCTGCTTATCATGGAAGACTTTTATTGCTCCATCTATTTTGAATGATAGTTTTGCTGGGTAGAGTATCCTGGGGTTGAAGTTATTTTCATTCAGTGCCCGGAAGATCTCACCCAGCTCTTCTTGCTTTTAATGTTTCTGTTGAGAAGTCTGCTGTGATTTTGATGGGTTTACCTTTGTATGTTATTGTTTTTTTCTCTTACAGCCTTCAATAGTTTCTGAACTTGTTGTTTTAATGATGATATGTGTGGGTAGTTCTATTTTGATCTGGTCTGTTTGGTGTCTGGAGGCCTCTTGCATCTGTATGGGAATATCTTTCTCTAGATTTGGGAAATTTTTGTTATTATTTTGTTGAATATATTACGCATTCCTTCGCTTGCACCTCTTCTCCTTCATGCCCATGATTCTCAAGTTTGGTCTTTTGATGGAGTCGTGAGTTCTTGCATTTTCTTTTCACAGGTCTTGAGTTGTTTAATGTTCTTCGTTTTTCCTTTAATTACCATTTCATCTTCAAGTTCTGAGATTCTGTCTTCTGTTTGTTCTATTCTGCTGGATTGGCCTTCCGTTTTGTTTTGCAGTTCTGTTTCTTTTTTTCTGAGGTTTTCCATATCCTGGTGTTTCCTCTTTAATGTTGTCTATTTTTGTCCTGAGTTCATTTATCTTTTATTAATCGTGTTCTCTGTTTCACTTTGGTGTTTATACAGTGCTTCTATGGTTTCCTTTATTTCTTCTTTTGCTTTTTCAAATTCTCTATTTTTGTTGTCTTGGAATTTCTTGAGTGTCTCCTGTACATTTTGGTTGACCTATCCAGTATCATCTCTATAAAATTCTCATTGAGTACTGTAGTATGTCTTCTTTTAAATTATTCTTGTGGGCTTCATTGGGTTCTTTGGCATAGTTTATCTTCATTTTGTTGGAGTCTGGATCTGAGTATCTGTTTTCTTCATTCCCTCTGGTTCCTGTACTAATTTTTTGCTGTGGGGAAACTGGTTTCCCTGTTTTTTCTGTCTTCCATCATTGTCCTTGGTGTTGTTACTGTCCCTGTACTGTGTGCAATTAAGTATTTTCTAGCTTGTAATAATAACAATGGTAATATTTAGAATGGAAGGGTGAGAGGAGATGGAAAGCAAGAAGTTAAAGAAAAGGGAAAAACAGACAAGAGGAGAAAAAAACAAGAATCAACAAGAAAGTTTCAAAGGTATAAACAGGGAGTAGTGTACTAATCGACAGTAAGCTGAACAGGCATTAGAGAGACAGAGAGATTGAAAATAAAAAAAAAATAAGAATAAAAATAAAAATATAAATAAAGAAATATATATAAATAAAAAAATAAAAATAAAATAAAAAAAAAAAAACCTCCAAGTTCAAATGCAATGAAGTTTCAGTCTTAATAATTTTGGTGTCGTCTCAGTCTCCAATCCTGGAGATGGTGCCTCAGATGTTGTTCTGTAGTTGTCTCATCAAAGGGGATGCATAAAGTAGAACAAACTCACACAAAAAAAAAAAAAAAAACCCAAAGTGTCCCAAGTTCAAATGCAATACAGTTTCAGTAAGTTTTTCAGCATGCAGGTGTAGTTCGGTTGTTGTTCATCAAAGGTAGGGAGAAAAAAAAAAAAAAAAGTCTGGAGACAGTTCTGTGAATGGTATCTGCCTGCTGTCAGCCTGCTGTTGCTGGAGGCTTTTTTGCAGATCTCAGGGGTGAGCTTAACACTCACCTGGCCTGCAGGCTTTGTTTACTCAGAGTTCTCCTGTGCAGCCGCTGCTACAAGCTTTCCCCTTTCCAAGCACACTGGGAGGTGACACTGCACCGCTTTCTCAGGCCTGCGTGTTTATTTACAGTTCATGGGGAAGTGGGTCTTCCCCCTCTCTCTGTGGAGTTTTCCTCCCTCTGCCACTCTTCACAAGCTTTCCTGCTCCTGGTTGCTGGGTGCACCCGTCCCCACGGAGCTCTCCTGCCGCCCGGCTTGGTTTTATTTACAGTTCCGGGAGGATTTCCCTTCCCCAATCTTCAGTGCTCAGTGCGCACCCTCTTTCCCGTGTCTTTTTTTGTTCTTTTGCTTATTATTAGTTTCTCTTTTTCCCGGTGGGTGGTCCCTGTCCAGGGGCTATGCTCTCCGGCAGGGTTGTTTGTGGGAGTACGGTGGTACTGGTAAGCTCACCTTGTCCGCGTCTTCCCAAGCCATCTGGGTGCGGGCGACTGGCAACCTGGGGACTCACTGGTTCCCTCGGTTTTAATATGAATGGGATGCCCTGACTGGCTAAGGTTGTGGGAGGGGTCAAAGTTTGCTTCTTCTTGGTGGTTTTGCTTGCAAGGTGTGTCTCCAGCATCTCTCCAAGATTTCACTATAGGAGGCACACTTTCTGCTTCCTTCCTCTAGCAGCCATCTTGGAATCCAACCCTTATGTGTCGAAATCTAATTCTTGATTTTTAAAACATAAGATATTTCTATCAGATTGAGGTAATTTACATATAGTTGAGACCCAAATGATCATAGTTATCAACTCAAGGCAAGGAAATAAGTTTAATATTAAAGGGAAACAGGAAATGCTTCTTTTTTTCCTTTCCCACTTCTCCCTACTTTAATACTAAAATAAACCCGTGCTAAAACTTCTTTTAAAAAAATAAACTTCCTCAAATGAGGCACTGGTTAGGCTGGCTGACTTCTTTGGACTATAATAAAACTTGGAAAATATGTAATGGTTGAATAAATATAAAAACTGAGATTCAGAGACTAAAATGACTGGCTCCATCATACTGCTAGTTAGAGGCAAAGGTAGTTCAAGAGCTTGTCTGCTTATTGTTAAGTCCCATATTGCTGCAGTTAGTTTTTCATTGCAGCCTTAAACTGTACTTAAAAGACAATAGAGGAAAATACTTAAGAACAACATATTTGTGTATCTGACCCCAACTCTGGAAATCGTGGGCATTTTATTAATATGTTAATTATATATTCTAAATATGGCATAGATTGGAAAATATCTGTACATGTGAGCGCTTTCGCTTAGTTTTGCTCTTCCAAAGTACAAGTCAGAAAACACTTACCTAATTTTGTTTCAGGTATTTATTTGTCAGATTTAACATACATTGATTCAGCGTACCCATCAACTGGCAGCATTCTAGAAAACGAGCAAAGATCAAATTTAATGAATAACATCCTTCGGATAATTTCTGATTTACAGCAGTCCTGTGAATATGGTAAGTATTCTGGGGGATAATGCCTAGCCATTACCATTACCATTGGTTCCCTGACCACCTCTATGACTACTTTCACATAGCAGGAACATCAGTTTGCTATTTCTGTTGTAACATGAAGGACAACACTGATTCTCTTATTTCAACATTCAGTATTTACCTTTTTTTTTTTTTTTTCTTTTTTGAATTGAGTTGTGATCTGGCTATATTTCTCAGGCTGGCCTTGAACTACTGAGCTCAAGTGTCCTCCTACCTCAGCCTTCTGGGTAACTTGGATTATAGGCATGCGTCAACATGCCCAGCTTAGCATACTTTTTATGTTTTTAAGAAAATGTTTAAATTATTTAAAATACTTGGTTTATGATATTGAAAAACAGAGTTATGTTATCTAATTTATTTCAAATACATATGTCTTGAAGTTAACTTTGCATATATGCATATATACCTTTAAGAAAATTTCAGCTTCCTAAAAGTGCAGAGGTAATAGACTCTTACTGAAAGTTAAAAAGTCTTATTCTGTCCTTTTCCCAATTTTTTTTTAACATAACACCAAATTATAATGCTAACTTAATCTTGCTTGAAATTTGAGTGGGGGGTACACATTTAAAACTGGAAACCAAATTTTTTTTTAAAAAGTTAACTCTTTACTTCTTACATTGAACTAAGGCTTTAATATAAATCACTAGTGAAATCTCTGACTTTTAAATGAAATTTCTCAAACATAAGGGATTTTATAATTTTAGCCTTTTTTTAAAAATCACAAAATCTGTTGTACAAGCAGCATGCGACTATAGTTTTCTAAATTCTCTTTAGTTTTACTTTAGAAGGACAGAGTTAGGTGCAGTTTTGGTGGTATCTGACCTTAATGTACCTTTAATTATTTATCTCCATTTAACTTTTAAAATTTGGTCAAGATATACTTTATTGGATAATTGCTTTTCACATTTTGCCTAGATATTCCCATGTTGCCTCATGTCCAAAAATACTTGAACTCTGTTCAATATATAGAAGAACTGCAAAAGTTTGTGGAAGACGATAATTACAAGTAGGTTGGAACTTCAAATTTGGTTTGTACTTTGTTCTCTCCTCCTCTTTTTCCAGTTGTTCACTTTTCCATCACCATGCATTTAAACAGTTCTCCATCATGTGCAAATGCCTAATCCAGTGATACATTAACAATGGTAAAGGTACTTTTGTGTATTTTTTTAATTACTTGATATTATTGAACCAATATACAAATACCTCATTTGTTCCTTAAAAAAGTATTTTATCTTAAGTTGTAAAGAGCTGATATTTGATCATTCAGATTTAAATTTCTTCTTTTCCCTGTGTATTCAACCATTGAGTCTTTATGGAAATTTATCATTTAGTAGATAAAAATTAATAAAATAATCTTCAAGATAGAAACATTACTCCTTTTTTAAAGGTAACTTTTGGATACATCTTTGAGATTGTTTAAGATGGATTTTCATGGATCGAGAGAATATGGCACCTGTTGTGCCATATTTAGGTTATTGAATGTTTCTTCAATATAGCATTATACTTACTCTTCTGTGTTACAGAAAGTTCTTTATTAAAGATTTCACTTTTGTAATAGTTGATATCTAGTTCTCTGCCCTTACCATCCACAGTAGTGCCCAGTGACAGGAGTGGAGGCTTAAATTGTTAACTTTTCATCTTTCAGTGGTATTCCTTTATTTTATAAGTGCTGTTCTTTTTCCAAAGGGTTGGGGGAAAAGATTGTATTTCTCTTCAGACTTCTCACTTTTCTTTTGGCTTCATTTGTTAAATTAAGACTTTCTTAGCTTTTTTGTTTTTGTGCTTTAATACGATAGGGTTTATTGTCCAGGCTGTGCCTGAACTCCAGGGATTAAGCTATCCTCCTGCCTCAGCCTCCTGAGTATCTAGGACTGCAGGCACATGCTACCACACCCAACATTTGCTTAGCTTTATTATGCCAGTGCTTCCCAAACTTTCAATTTTTTTTTACATTTTTTTTATTGTATTATCGTGCTGGGAGTACATTGTGACATTTACAAAAATTCTTACAGTATATCATAGTTGAATTCATCCCCTCCATCTCTCTCATTTAGTGCACTCCCCACCATTCCTAGAGTAGTTTCAAAAGGTCTCATTTTTCCATTTACATACACGTGTATGTATTTCCACTATATTCAGCCTCCTATACCCTTTCCCCACATCTCCCCCCTTCCCGCCCTCCACCCAGACAAACTGGTGCTAATCCTCAGTCAGGACATGTCTTACCTTCCTGTTCTCTGTTTTTGAAAAGAAGACATTTTTGTTTGTTTAAAATAGCCAAGTTTTCAAACTGAACTGTATGCCTTCCTCAAATATTTTTCCAGTAAAAGGGCATGTTTTTAAATTTTATCCAAGTAAAAATTTGGGTTTTTTTTTAAACAATCTTCTAAAACCTCTGTAGAATAGCATTAGTCCCATTGAAAGGCTAGAAATTCTGAAAATTAGAAGTTGTCTTTTCTTCAAATATTAAATTAGTTCTAAATATGTATTTAAATGTGTCTAAATTTTATTAATGTTTGCAAACATCTTTATTGCCATCTATCCCTATACCATAATATCAACAGTTTATGTTTCAAACCTTTTATCTTATGAAAGTAACTTACGTGAGACCAGTGATCACCTTTATATGGGTGGAGTTGTTTCACAAATCTGTTTCCACAATTGTGTCTTGAGTTTGATGATCTCTGTGTCTTACATCTCCCACTATTTTTCCCATCTCTAAATTTAGTGTTGTAGAACTTGTACCCAACAAATGTGTTTTGTCCAGTGAGATATAGGACAGATATCTTAATACTGAAGACAGGAGAAGCTTTTAAAAATTTTTCTGGCTGAAGAAACAATGGATTTTTTTTAAGTTAGTTTATTAAGTAGAATTGAAGTCTAAGAAAATTTTGCACAATTACAGAGGATGATAAATTTTTACTGACTAAAGTTAAAAGTGTAATATTTAGTAAAGCTAATATTTATTTTATTGAAAGGATAGCTGTGCCCAGTGAAACCATTAAGTAGTAGTTGTAAGTGTTCATAAACTGACGTTATCAGATTATTTTCATTTTTATAAGAAGGGCAATGCTGTTAGGTTGATTTTTGTTTTCACGAGTGGCTCTGGCCAACTCAGCAGCCTTCTGATTGTATTCATTTAAGAGACATTTATTAAGGTCTTGCTGTAGGCCACTTACTGTGCTAGTTGCTGAGATTATAAAAATAAAATACTGTTCTTGCCCTCAAGAAGCTTAAGCTAACACAAGGCACATCCAAAGAACAGATGGTTTCAGAACAGAACATTCGAACAATGCAGTCAGTCAGTGGTGAAGGCCCTGATTTCGATCCTCAGCGACACCAGAAAAATAAATTAGTTAAAAAAATGTTTTTATGATGAAAAGTATTTAAGTAGAAATGATACTCGCTTATCCAAAAGCCTCTGTTTTTAGCAACTTCATCTATGTAATCAGCCAGTGTAGATAACACAAATTACATACGTGTCTTTTCAATGTGGATGAAAATGTTTGTACATTATTTAGTTTTAATACTGAGTATGTCTTTTCCCCATGAGTCGGCGTCATTGTAATTGCGTCATGATTTGGCTGCATTACAAGTAAGCCATGACACTCAGCAGCAGCCACTGCTTCTGCTGTTATCCTGCTTGCAGTTACTAGGTGCTACAGGAGCAGCATGACTCACCCAGTAAGCTCTCTTTCTATATGGGCACTGTGTAAGGAAATGGGAGTTGTTCTGCTGTAAGATTCAGAGTGTCAGGAACACAAGGTCTGCCTTAGTCTGTTACATAGCCATGCTGAGCACAACACAAAGCAGATGTCCAGTAACATTTATCGTGTGAACAAATGCAGTTAGTTTGCAGCCTAAATAACTAAATTGCTCCAAAAAAAGAAAACAAGCCGGGCACAGTGACTCACGCATGGAATCCCAGCTACTTGAGAGGCAGAAATACAGTTCGAGGCCAGCCTGGGCAAAAAGTTTACAAAGACCCTGTCTCAATCAGTAAGGCAGTATGGAGGTACATGCTGTATGGCCAGCTAGGTAGCAGGTCATTGGTAAGTTTGCAGTCCAGGCCAGTCCCAGGCAAAAAGCATAAGACCCTATCTAAATAAATAAACTAAAATGCGAAAAAGGGCTAGAGGCATGTCTCAAGTTGCAGAGCACTATAAGTCCTGAATTGAAAACCCCACAACTGCTAAAAGAAGAAAGAAAATGAAAAGTTCTGGGTAATTACTCTTCTGTTCATTATATTCATTTTTACATTGTCAAATAACTGGAATATAATTGCATTTAATTCCCTCTTAGGTTATCTAGGAAATAATTATTTAAGAACGCATTAGATTTACCATTCGTGCTGCTTGTGTTTTGTAATTTCATTTAAAAATTCCCATCAGGGAGCTGGGTTCAGTAGTTCACACCTGTAATCCCAGCTAAGAGGGGGACAGAGATTGGGAAGATTGCAGTTTGTGGCTAGCTTGTGCACTGCCAGGCACAGTGACTCAAGCCTATAATACTAGCTGCTCAGGAGGCAGAGGTTCAGAGGCTCTCAGTTCCAGAACAGCCCAGGAAAAAGTCCAGGACACCCCATTTCAACTAATGGTGAGGTATGGTGGCACACAAATAAATGAATTGCACTCAGGCCAGCCCAGGCATAAAGCAAGACCCTGTCCCAAAAATAACCAGTGCAGTAGGGCTGGAGGAGTGGCTCAAGTGGAAGAGGGCCTGCCTAGTCAGTACAAAGCAAAGTTGAGCCCTCAGTATTGCCAAAAAAAGTTAGTGAGACCCCATCTCAATCACTAACCCAGGGTAGTACACATCTACAGTTCCAGCTATGTGGATGCGCAGGAGGAGGACTAGCCAAAAGGAACACAAGGCTGTATCTGACAAATAACTAAAGCAAAAAGGGCTGGGGGCACAGCTCAAGTGTTAGAACACCTGCCTAGCAAAGTGTGAGGCCCTGAGTTCAAACCCCAGTACTGGCAAAAAAACAAAAAAAGGAAGAACTTTTCAGTCAGTAGAGTGCTAAACCATTTTTATTAATTTTCAAATTCTTAGTAATGTCAAGTTTCTCATATTATACCAGTGCATTCACTTTATTTATTTGGCAGTACTGGAGATTAAACTTGGTCTCGTGCTTTTACTCTACACTTGAGCCACACCCCCAGTCTTTGTACTTTTTTAGTTTGGTTTTCAGGTAGGGTCTCATACTCTTGCCTGTGCTAACCTTGAACCATGGTCTTCCTACCTCTACCTCTTGACAGGTATCAGAGATTACAGGTATGCATCACTGTGCCCAGCAATACCAAAGAATTTTCTATTAACTGCTTTAGAATTCTGTTTCCCAAAATTGCTCGACTGGATAGGAAGCAATTACAAATTTTTGAAATTTTCAGTGTTGCAATTAAATCAATAAGCTCATCTAGTAAAGGTTCTAAAAATAATTTGTATAATATATTAAATAATGTGGACATTTGAGAGTTTTCATTTAAGAGTAAGTTAGTCTTTTAGTTCAGAAAATCTCTTTAAATGTGTTGAATTATTTGGTACCTTTGGGATAGTTGGGAAGACTTTTACATTTTTAAACACTGTTTTGATGTTTTTTTCTCCTCAGCATTTCTTAAATAACCTTAAGATCAGCTTTTTCTGAAAAAGGTAGAGTACTTAACATCTTAGTGATGACTCTAGAAGCAAAACATACAGCTCAGATCTTAAAATCCTTAAGTTTTTGTGAGAAAAATACATGATCCTCATACTCTTTTGTCAAACGTTAATTATTTCATGTGTTTTGCTTTTTTTTTTTTTTTAATTTAGGCTGTCATTAAAGATAGAACCAGGGACAAGCACACCTCGCTCTGCTGCTTCCAAGGAAGATTTAGTAGGTAAGTGCATGGATTTTTCCCATAACTAAACAAAACACTAGATTACTCTTAAGAGGAAGCGTACACCCCAAAGTGTATTGTACTCAGCACATCGTATGCTGCTTGCAAAAATTTACTTTTGTATTAAAATAAAATTTGCTTATAGTTTGTCAGTAATACAAATAAATGTTATTTAATCAAGGAAAAACTGTAATAAGACAATAAAGAAATACTAATATTCTATTCATTTTTTAAAGTATTAAGAATATAGTTCTAGGTAAGTTAAAGTTTTTACACTAGAAATTTATGTGTTCTAAGTGGAAAATTCTATGGCTTTGAATGATAATAGAAGTCAATTTTAATGACTTCAGTTTTAAAGTTTAAGTCAGTTTTAACTTTTTTTGAGTTAGTCCCTGCTTCACCCATTGTGTGATAATAGGGATATTCTATTTATACCACAAATAATCAAAGAACATAACATTGAAGAAATTAGTCATCATTTTAGAAATAATTGGTAAATATCTTTTTCTAATCACTAATATAGACCTAGGAAATTCTTTTTTATATTCTAAAAATTTGAAGGGCTATCTAATAAGAGGTGAAGAAGCAAGGAAACAAGTCATGACGGTATCTGGAGGAAGAGTATTCAAGATAGAGGAAGTTATTTCATTCCAAATCTATGCACGTGCAATAGAGCCTCGCTATGTAGGAGGCTGGCTCACAGTCTTGCCTCACCCTCCTCCCAGGTGCTGGTATTGCAGGCATATGCTATCATGCCCAACTTCTTTTCATTCTTTTTTTTTTTTTTTGAGTAATCTAGATATATTTTGTGGGTCAAGGAGATAAAGCAGATCATATGGGAAATGGTAATTGACTTGTTCCTAGTGCCTAGTCCCAGTACATCCTTAAAGAGAGAAAGTCACTTCCAATTTAATGCCCCAGTGAGGACAAATACAGCTCCTTCCCTGGGGGATGGCAGATCCAGCAGATGGCAGATCATCTACCACTGTTGATGGAGTAAGCAGAGACTGCACTACGGAAGAACAGGGTGTATGAGGGCTTCACCAGGCCAGGATCTGATTCCTGCATCTGCACCTGGGGCAGGGCTTCTGGAGATAGAGAGCCCCAGTCCGTAGTGAGTTCATATGCATCTTCCCCATATCATTGAGCCTGAATCCCTGAGACAGTCATATTCAGAAGCCACCAGCAGGAAACAAAGACACACAAGTGTGTCAGATTATTGTGGATGACATCGTTGACTCTCCCAGAATATACCTGAAGTATAAAAGAGTATGAATTTAAATGATTCTGCAGCTTCATCTGCTGATGTATTCGGGTATTTGCGGGGGGATGTACCCCGCATGTGAGTACACAAGAAGGAGTGCAAAGTTTCTTATTACCGTCTCCCCTGGGAGGAGGCTGCTGGCTGCTCTTTGGAGCACTCAGCCCTGTCTCTCCTGTCAGCCTCACCATAACTAGGGTCTTGATCTGCTAGGAAGGAAATGCGTTTAAGGAGATGAGCAGACATCCTGACAAGCACAATACAAAAACCATACACACACAAATACAGAGAAACACAGACATGTGTATACACATACACATGCACAAATATATTCTAAAAAGTGGGGCAGAGTGAAAAGGTCATAACTCATAGGTTAATTTTCCTTAGGTTAAATCTAGGGCTGGAGATACGGCTCAAGTATATGGCATGACTGCCTCATGACCATAAGACCCTGAGTTCTGACCCCAGTACCACTGAAAAAGAAGTAACTCAATCTACATTGCTTTATGTGTATTTCATTGCTCCTCCTGTAACCTTTTGTTGTTTATTCATTCAGTTGGTTTTTTTTTTTATGCTTCAGTTGGTATTTTTTTTCTTTTATTCATATTAAAATGTTTTGCAAAGTACTGTGCCTTTTAATTGTGTTATATTCCCATAAGCTTGAACAATATCAGTGTAGATAATAATTTTAATCTCTGTGCTTGACCTTCCCTACACATTCTTTATCTAAGAGGCAACTTGATGAAAGCATGAATAAAGAACCACTGTATAAAATCACAAGTATTGACTAAACCTAGGACTCAGACGAATTGGGTTAGTCTAGATTTTATCTGTGTAAGACCCTGAGCTGGTCTCTTCTAATTCTGCATCTTCCTGTATAAGTGGAGAAAAAATTTATACTGCTTCTATATTTTAGAAGAAAGATAGGGAGAAAAGAGACTTTTGTATGGTTTGAGATTTGTGTTGTAGAACTTGGAATATAAGTCATAAAACTCTTCAAGTCAATTATGTAGTAGGTAATAGTACCTACTATTATAATAGACAATACTAAGCGTACTTTGTATCTTACACCAAAAGATTAAAAATAAAATAACCTTTGAAACCACGAGAAAATTTCCTTGCTTCCCTCAGGTTCTGAAGTGGGGGCATCACCACAGAGTGGAAGAAAGAGTGTAGCTGCTGAAGGGGCCCTGCTGCCACAGACGCCCCCGTCCCCCCGGAACCTGATTCCTCATGGACACAGGAAGTGCCACAGTCTGGGTTATAAGTCAGCATTAAGTTGTTTTATTATTTATTTATTTATTTAGTAGGAAAATATATGTCTATATTTCTGTTTACTTTATTAAACAGAAATCAGTATCTTTGCATAGTTGCTTTTGCTCATAACACCAGTCTTTCTGATTCAATAAAGCATCTCGCACACCTAAAAGCATTTATTTCCTCCTTTACCTGAATTGAAATTAGCTGGCCTTAGCAGTGCCTTCACATTTAAGGGAGATAAATGAGCATTACAGAGAGCCATCATAAATAAAATTGGGCTAGCAATATACCAGTAGTTTTCCTTTAAAGTCACAACCTCTGTAACAGGACAGTCATTTATCTTAACCAAAATAAGTAATAAAGTCTAAAATATTACTCTCTTTATTCTTAAATATGAAGAAATTGGTTTTTGTTGTTGGTTAACTTCATTAGTTTTGCAATATTCTCAAAAAAGGGCCCATTGCTTACCTTTGGAATTTTGGGGGTTTTTTTGTAAAAATTCAGTAACTATTCTCTAAAAATGAATGTGAAAACAATTTTTGGTGGACCCGGATGTCAAGAAGTAAAATATGCTCTAGTTATACAAGGAGATATGACCAGGTTTCCTGAATAATTTTCCCTAAACTGTTTGAGGCTGTCATGGTAATATCCATATGTTCATCATTGTGAGAGTTCAGAAGTAAGTTCAGGATAGTAGATGAATCTTTTATATCTTGAATCTTCATGTAAGCATGCCTTTTAGATCTTGAATTAATAATATAGTAAAAACTGTGAAAATTATTTTTCATCTCCAGTTTCATTCATAAAATGAACACAGCAGAGTTTAAGAGTGCAACGTTCCCAAACGCAGGGCCAAGACATCTGTTAGATGATAGCGTCATGGAACCCCATGCACCATCCCGAGGCCAAGCTGAAAGTTCTACTCTTTCTAGTGGAATATCAATAGGTGAGAAATGTTTTCTCCGAGAGCTCCCACTTACATAAAATGAGAATTTAAACAAAACTCAACTAAAAAAAAAAATTCATGAACCTTTCCACAAATGGAGAAAATTTGATTTTTAAAACCTCACCATTAAATATCAGGTGAGAGTAGTAATTCGTGATGGCTTTAAAAGTGCTGATGGTCAAAGACTAACTCCAAAAGAGAAGGTATTGAAACACTGGTTAAAAAAAAAAAAAAAAGAAGGTAGGCTGGTTGAATTGTGATGTGGGAATGAAGAAAAGTGTGAAGTCAGTATGAGTCCAAGTTATTTGAGTTAACCTGCTAGTTAGGTGGTGTTGGTGTTAGCAAGGCAGTGACGACTGAAAGCGCATTCGTTTGTGGGCAGTAAGGTATTTATGAAGGGTGGCTGAGTTTGGGGAATCAGGAGTTCAGTCTTGAACATGCTTGGTTGTTGAATATATGAATCTGTAGATCTGAATGTGTATGTTACCAGATTCGTAGTATTTCAAGCTATGAGAGTGGTTGAGGTCAACCAAGGAGAGTATAAGTAAATAAGAGAAAAACATTCTCACATTTATTTAAATTATTTTTTTAAAAAGAAGGATGGGCCATGAAAGAAAACATGAAGGGGAGACAAATAAAATAGGAGGAAAAAACCTGAGTGTGGTATCATGAAAGCCCAGTGTCTCAAAGAAGAGGGAAGGACTGGATATATTAATATCAGATGCAAAAAAAAAGAACTAAGATGCTGTGTTGGTCAGCTTTCCCTCATTGTAACAAATACATGAGACCAGTCAACTTATGAAGTGATTAATTTTGATCACTTGGCCCTGTTGTTTACACACACACACACACACACACACCAATAATGCCAAGCTGGGGACCAAGCCTTGAACCATTCAGGGTCATTCCAGATCCTAACTATAGCAGATTGGTGCATACCTATAATCCTAACACTCAGGAGGCTGAGGTAGGAAGATTTCGAGTTTGAAGCCAGCCTAGGCTACACAGCAAGACTCTATCCAAAAACAAGGTGTGAGGGGAGATGAAACTATAACTAATACGGATAAAGAATTAATAAGGAAATTGGTCAAGATTGGTCACGCTGACGAGAATTGCTTCATAAAATGGTGACAGCAAATCTGGATTAAAGTAGATCTGAAAATGAGAGGTGAAGAAACAATGAAAAGGAGCACAAAATTGGGACCAAACTGGAAAGAGATGGGAGATTGAGAGTGGTAGGTTGTTTTTACTTCCTAAACCTTATTTTCTGTATCCTCTGGAAAGGCATTATTTCTTTTCATAATTAGAAAATATATCCATATTATGCTATTTTTATTCTTAAACAAATAAGAGAATGGCTTCCTCTGTGATTAAGTACTAGATTGCTCAAGGGCTAAGCCTATAATTGATATGATGGTCCTGATATTGGTGAAAAGTCAATAGAAAGAGATGCAGAAGGACATTGATGTTCTTATACATACTGACTTCTTTAGCCCTTGAGAATACCAAGTCCTGAAAAGTAAAATTGCTTCATAGCCCTCCAGCATCATTCAGCAGTTAGTTATTCTGATGTTCCCTTTTTATATAAACATCACTAGTTAAAAGGTTTTTTGTTTTTTGGGTTTTTTTGGTGGTACTGGGGTTTGAACTCAAGGCCTTACACTTGCTGGCAGGTGCTCTATACCACTTGAGCCACTCTGCCAGACCAAAAGACAAAAATTTTAAAGTTGAAGATAAACTCATCATCTGCAATACCTCTTAATGTTCTAGTTCATCTGTGTACAAATATTAGTCTCAACCTAAAAAACAAAAAGCAAAACCAAGCAATTTTGCAGAAAATAACTTTTTTCCAGTTAATGGTTTGCTGCATTAAGCTGATACTCTAGTAAAGAGGAAATTGTATATTATTAAATTGCAATTAAAAAAAAATTTAGAGATTCTGTGCTTTTCAGTCTTGTTTTAAAGACAAAGAAATGAATTTCATTAAGCCTTTTATTCTGAGGGAAGTACAGGTTTCAGTTAGAAAAGGAAATAAATATGTCATGAACTTCTCAGGAGTTCATAAGTATTTTGGACCTAAATTATGACAAACTTAATAAAGAAAAATTCTGTGCTCTCTATTCTGATGCTAGAAAAATTGTTTTATAATTAATGCATATGAGCTATAGGTAGATATACAAAAATGTCTTAGGCTGTTAGTTTTGTAAATTACTTTCTAATATGTTGCAAAATAAAAACAGTAATACTAGAATAAAAAATTAATATATGGATGTTAAGCCATAGTGTTACTCATTATTTTATGAGTACAGTTAAAGAATTTATTTTATCCAAACTGGAAAAATAATTCTGATATTTAAATAACAGAGTAACTTTTGATTTTAGGTAGCAGTGATGGTTCTGAACTAAGTGAAGAGACCTCCTGGCCTGCTTTTGAAAGGTAAGAGAAATTATTCATTTAAACTGCTTTGGATTTATTTTGTCTGTTTTAAATGATATGATGAAATGAGTTTAAAGAGATATTACTATCCCTAACTGACTAAGTTTCTTGCTGGTAGGAGAAATTAGAAGTTGGTATTTAAGTCTGGAATTGTAAGGAAGTAGATTGGCTATTGATACTCTATATATGTTTATTTGATGTCTTTACATGTGTATTTGAATTCTAAGTGCATTTAATTATAACTTAAAGTTTCCAGTAATCTTATTAGTAATAAAATTTCAATAATAGCCATAGTTAAATGTTCAAAATGAAATCATTCTCTTAAGCCTGGGTAACTTAAGTAATTCTAAGGCATTTTGGAATGGCCAACTTTATTCTGTGCTATTTGGCAAGGGCAAAAATGACAGTAAATTTTAAATTGAAGTTTGAATTTAAATGGTCAAGCAATACTATAAATTATGCTTTCTTCTTTCCTTGTTTCTCTTAGCTGTAAACCATCATTAGTGTGAAGTTTTCCTATATTGATCTTGAAGTGCAAGATCTCTCTGAGAATGTAGCCAGTTAATATAGTTATTTACTAAATGTTCATTAGGATCATTATATTATCTCTCACTCCTTCAGTACTACTATTCTCAGACTCATAAGACACTTCACTCCTGACCAAAATAATTGCTCCCTTTTGTATGTGAACTAAGCAATTAAAGGATGGGGATACCGCTTAACAGAGAGCACTTGCCCTAGGACATTCAGGGTCCTGGGTTCCATCCCCACTATAAGGAAATTAAAGGAAAAAAACAAAAAAAAATAAATTCCTAAGGAACAAGAGTTCTGGGTATTTTTGTTTTGTGTATGTGAAGCACTAGTGTATGGCTACCACTAAGCCATGTCCCCAACCCCTAGGATCATTGTTTAGGTTAAATGTCACATGAAAACTGGAGTTGAAAAATATTTAGTTACCCAACTCCCTATCAATCGCTTTTTAATAGAAAAGTTCGAAATTAAATTATATTTGAATTGGCTAATTCCTGATACAACTTCGTAAAGATTTCTACCATTGTGTTATTAAGGTTTAACCCATAAGCACTGGATCTGAGTGTACTTTTTTGATCCTTTGTATTCTAATTTTTGAGTGTTCCCAAGTTTTATTCTCTTTGTTGGGGGATTCTTAACAATTTATTCTTACACATTGTTTCTCTTCCAACTGCTAAATTTAGGTTTACCTGAAATGAGGAAAAGACAAGAGTTGCCTTGGGTGTATTCTCTGAGATTTTACAAACTGTCTTTCCCTCTAAAACAGTGTAATGCCGTCAGGTCTTGAATAAAGAGTATATTCTCATTTTTAGATTAAAAGTTTCTTAGATTGTTCATGGTATAAGTGACTAACCCAGAGTGGTATTGTGTTCATCTGTTCTCTTCCCAGTGAGTAAAAGACAGTTTTTCATGTTACCTTTATGTCTCAAAACAATATTTTTCTTGTATGAAATGTTCTGCTTTGCAGACATTTGCAACTAAAAAGATCTGTACTTGCGCTGTGTTTAAATCAGTAGCTCTTGAAACATTTTGAGACCAGTTAAGTGACTTCTGTCTATCAAAATTAAACATGAAATAATAAAAAGTGAATGCAGGGGTGGAGGATAAAGGAGAATGTTGCAGGGGTGAATTCAACAATGATATATTGTAAGAACTTTTGTAAATGTCACAATATATCCTCAATACAATAATAATATACTAATAAAGAAGTGAATGTATAGCTAGGATTTAAAATTCTGTGGATAATGAACTTAAAGATAATGCTTATTTCTTTTTCTTCCTTTCTTTTTTTGTTTTCCTTGCTGGGGATCACAAGCGTGTCTTGAACACGCTAAGCAAGCGCTCTGCCATTGAGCTACAGCTACTCAGAATTTACTGGGGTTTAAACTTGGGGCCTCCCTCTAGCGAGGCAGGGGCTCTACCTCTTGAGCCACATTCCTAGCCCTTTTTGCTTTAGTTATTTTTTGAGTACGGTCTCATGTTTTTTCTTGGGCTGGCCTGGACCACGATCCTCCTAATTGCTGGAGCATGCCCAGCTTACTGGTTGAGATAGGGCCTCACTAACTTTGTGCATGGACTGTCCTCAAACCTCGCTCCTTCCAGTCTCTGCCTCACAAGTAATTGACATTAGAGGGTGAGCCACCATGCCTGGTTTAGTTCTCTAAATTTTGATACACCATTTTCTCCTCTTATTTCCTAGAGAGGCATCAGATATTTTATTGCTTAAGTTGCTAAAATACTTCTTTTCATTTTAAGTATATCAGTGCTACTTTTGGCTTTTCCCAGGCAAAGGTGCGCGTGTGTGTCTGTGTGTGTGTGTGCGCGCGTGCCATTTGGATAAAACTCTGCCACTCATACCATTGTTATCATTTATTATTGGCTTTCTCAGTTTATATAGAAATAAAATAGTGCCTGTATTTATTACTTAGTTCTCTTTTATTAGTTTTCTTTGATATACTATAAAAGACAAAGAGGTTTTCCATATTAATTTTATGTTTACAAGCCATGTTGCTTTTAGGTGTCTTCATAGGGACATATACTAAAAATGTTTATACAAATCCAAGCATTGTATTTAAACTGAATGCTAAGAAAAAGAATAGAAACAAAAGGATTTGTGAAGTATTTTTCAGGTTCTTATATTATTAGCCCATAAATAGCTCTTTAATTTTTTGGCAGATTTATGAAAGTTAAGTATATATGACTGTAATAAACACCTATACATATCTCCAGGGTCAATAGTGAAATAAGTTTTTGGAAAGTATGCTGCGTGCTTTTAAAAAAAAAAAAAAAGAGGATCAGTCTTATACTGTCCCTTTGTAAGATTTAGAAAGCTCTAGTACATGAAAAAACTATTATACTATTCTAGGTGTTGATAAGTGTGTGGATAAAAGTGTATGTAATTATATACAATTTATAATGGAATCCAACAGGAACAGATTGTACCATTCTCTCGGCCCGGTGACAAGAGTGGCACGAAATGGCTATCGAAGCCACATGAAGGCCAGCAGGTACAATTTCCCTGCATCCAGGGGTCACAGTACTCCCCTCTGGTGTTGGTGATTGTCTTACATGGGTGTGGTCTGACATTATTTCTGTTCTTTCTCAACTAATTGGTTTTAAAATTAAACTAAACAAATTGCCCACAAGAACTTTCTTTCCAAGATTTAATGTAGAGATAAAGTTTGTACAATTCCTTGTGATCCTCAACGTTAACTGCTAAAACTTGGGTCTTTATGTCACATTTTTTAAGTGCTTCCAAGTTGGTAGCCTTTTAACTGCACAGGTCTTTCACATGCTAGTGATTGGATAAGCAATGTAAAAATCTATTATTCTTAAACTGGAATCAAAGCATTTACTTTGCCAGTACGTTTATATTTAGTTTGTCTTTTTTTAAGAATTTTTTTTCAGATCTGAGTTTAGACAAATCTGTTTCATTAAAAAATTTTTACATATTTCAGCCCATTAGCTTTTCATCTGGTTAAGCTGGGTCTTCTGCACTGTGTTAGCTGGGGAAGCAACTAAGGTTGGATTGATTGAGAATCTAGAGGATACAAATGGGTAGTTAACCAATTCAGAAGACAACAAAATAGTAAACTTCAGAAGCAAACTCTGTTCAGTGGTGTCTAATCTCCTTGTGTATACCTCCCTGAATATAAATAGCTACTGCTTAAAATTTGTAAGTCACTTTGAAGACACCTAAATAATCATAAAGGAATAAACTGGAAAACTTCTGTTTTTCTTTGCTGTTGTAGGAATTCTGCAGCTCATATCAAATCTTCAGAAATTGGCATTTTTATCAGTGTATATGTTTTAGTTGGTTCATGTAGAAGTCATTCTTGTTTTAAATATAGGCTCTTAAATCAGTTGGAAAGATAAAAATGGTTATTTTGTGATTTTTTTTTTTTTAAGATAAATGAAAAGGAAATCGTGCGTTTGGGGGAAAATTCCTTTGTCAGAGAGCTGTTCAGCCATAATCAAGCACTTACTCATTGGCAGCATTTAAATGTCATTAAAATGTATTGCAAAAAGCCAGTTTTGAAAAATGTGTTGTTGTTACTAGTTTTTTCACCTATTTTACAATTAAGCATGAGTTTTCTTTTTTTCTTGTTGAGCTTCTTGTATTTATATTTTCAGTTTTATATATTTAAATACTTTTAATAAATAGAATCCTCATCTCTCCTACCAGGACATAGAGTGTCTAATGGGAAAAATAAAGTTACAACAATGATGCAGTATAACATGATAAGAAGAAAAAACTCTTAATACTTAATCTTTATTAAAGTGAATTCCTGCATTCTTTCTAAATTATACTTGTTCAAATTAGTAACAGTGTATGTTTTTTAACCATCTGCTAACTTTCTAACTTGCTTTTATGACAGCTTATAATTTCAAATCAATAAACCTTTAAAATTGTCAGTTTCTTCTTTGCTTTGTAAAAAAGTAGCAAAGTTTTTAAGTTAAGAATAGTAATATTTTATTTAACTACCTACTTCATGACTATTACAGACTAAAGCTCTTCTTTTCTTCATTTCATCGGTATAGTTCTGCAGAATCAGAAGATTTGGCAGTGCATTTGTATCCAGGAGCTGTTACTATTCAAGGTGTTCTCAGGCGGAAAACTTTATTAAAAGAAGGCAAAAAACCTACAGTAAGATCACATTATATTAATTTTTTACATGTCTAAAAATATGCAAATGCACAGGGCACTAAAAGTGCTAAACAATTGCAAAAGAAGCAGATATGTAGTAGATCTGGGGTAATTTAAAATGCACATTTTCCTTGGTATTTCTAAAGGCATGACACCTGCCATGTAGATTTCAGGTGAATCATTTATTAAGGGTGTTTAAGCCAGGGTACTCCTGTCCTTCTCTTTACCTCCTAAAGGTAATTCTTACACAAAACTGTTTCTTAAGAAAATTCTCAAAGTATATTAAGAAATACTGTGAGGACAGGGCATGGTGACTCAGACCTGTCAACCCAGGGGATGGAGGCAGAGATGCAGGGTCAGTTTAAGGTTCAAGGTCACCCCAGGCATAAAGTTAACAGCCCATCAGCCAATAAGCTAGATGCGGTGGCTCTTAATCCCAGCTGTGTGGGGACATAGATGGGAAGATTGTGGTCCCAGGCCCACCCCAAGCAAAAGCTTGAGACGCTATCCAAAAATAACTAGAGCAAAAATGGCTGGGGGCATGGCACAAGTGGTAGTGTACCTGCCTAGCAAGGGTGAGCCTTGAGTTCAAACTCTAGAAATACCAAAAAAAAAAAAAAAAAAAAAGTAAAGAAAGAAATATTGTGGTAATATTTAGGAAATAGAGTAACCTAAACAGTGAAATTTGACCAATTTTGTCTTATCAGTTTATTTAAATCTCTATAATCCAGTTTTGTTTGCAGAGAGTAAATGTCCTCCAAGCAATAACTAAGGAAAGAAGTTTAATGGAACAAAGCTTTTCATATGTAACAAAGAAGTTTGTTATTTCCCAATACCTGCATAGTAGTTTGAGTACAAAATTTTTTTTCTTTTCTCAAATAACATTATAATGTTTATCTAATTTAAAATATAAAACCATCCACTTCATACTCTTGAAGATATATATAAAGCCTTCTTAAAATACAAAAATGGTTTCCATATAATTTTATTTTGCGGTTTACATTAGTTATCCAAACACACGTACAATCAGGAAGCTATAGTAGGCCATTCAGCAAACTCTGAATAGCTGTCAGTTGTGGCATTAATAGACCTTTTGTGTGCCTAGTGGTAAAAATAGGCCAGTGAACGAGATGAGACAAAGTGTCTGCTTCGTGGAAATACATTCCACTAAGAAGTAGAGGGTAAGCCCTTAAAAATGAGGTCATGGGATGCAGAAAGATGGTTTGATAGCAAGACACTTGAGTTTACAATTTGTAAAGAAAGTGAATTAGCCTGGTGAAGATAAGATCTAGAGTGCAAGAGATAAGGGCCTGTGTGGTTGAAGCATTGAAAGTGGAGGAGAGAGAGCTGATGAGTTGCTTGATGATGTATTATATATGATGTATAAAAGAAATGGTGGAAATGAAAATAACATCTGACTGGCAACTAATCTTAGGTGGATGTTGAGAACATTTTTTTGAAATGGTGGTAGGTGGGGGGCGGGCAGGTTCACCCTGACCTGCTTATTGAACATTCAAGTAGAGCTGCCAGTTTAACATTTAACAAGTGCAGTTCATGAGTTAGTTAAGTAGAGGGATGGTGGCCAGGGAAGTGCTTTAGTAGTCATTAGCATACAGACAGTATTTGAAGTTTGGGAGTGGGTGACACAGTATCTATGAAGGAAATGGCACTGGGAAAGAAAACAGGGCTGAAGATAGAGCTTTGTATAATCAAAAGTCTGCTATAAGAAGAGTGTAAAGGAAAGCCTAGAAAACTGTTATCCCAGAAGCCTAAGTTTAAGAAAAGGAGTGGGACAAGTATAGTGGCACATAGGTGTAGTCCCAGCACCTAGAGGATTGTGAGTTTGAGGCCAGCCTGGGCTACATAGGGAGACCTTATCACAAAAAAACAAACAAAAAATGAAGCCAGACATGTTGATACACACTATAATCCCAGCCACTTGAGATGTGGCAGTAGGAGTATCTCAAGTTTGAAACCAGCCAGGCCAGACAAAGGTAGTGGTATTGAGATTCTGTCTCAAAAATAAAAGGACTGGGGGTGCTTAGCTCAAGTGTTGGGATGCTTACCTAGCATGTGCAAAGCCCTGATTTGGATCCCCAGTACAAAAAAAGAAAAAAGGGAAAAAAAAAAAAAGGAAGAAGTGGTCAGCTGCGTCAGGTGCTGCTAAGAGGTTAACTGGTAAGGAAAGGATTGGATAAATGTCAGTGATCAGTGACCTTGACAGCAGCTGTTTCAGCCCGAAACCTCACAAATGAAGTAAGTTGAGTAGAAAATGGGAAAAATAGACATAAAGGCAGGAATTAGACACAACCTTCCAAGAAGTTATGCTGTGAGAGGGAGCAGAAAAATTGGATAGTGTCATAGGAGTCAGGGTCTGGGCAAAGAGGATTGAAGTAGGAGATGTTAGAAATCAGGGCATAAAAAGAGAGCTGAGTTTGCCTTCAGACAGAATCAAGGTTAACTAGTCTGCAAACAGGCAGTTAGGTGAAATTGGTGCTAGGAACATGAAGTTGTCAGCAGCTTTCATCTGTTTTTCTCTAAGAAGTCTTCAGTAACATCTGAAGGGCAGGCAGAGTAGTAGAATTTTGAGGAAGGATGTGGAGTAGTTGTCTGCAGAGGAAGAGAGCATACTGACTAGGTTGGGTATAAGGAAAGTAACTTCCCATTGCAGATTGAGCATAAATTTATTAGTTGGCATAATTGTGTGATTTCTCTAATAGTATTCTGCTAGTATGATACAGTGCCAAGTAATCAGATGGTTAGATGTGACTAGAGTTTTATCAAGGTAGAGGAGCTATGAGATTAAAATGTTTGGTAGGGAGTGGATAGAGTGCTGGCCCATGGAATATATTCCAGAAAGGAAAAATAAGGCAGTGGTAATAACAGGTAGTATTAGAAAGTGACAGGATTGTTAATGAGATCGAGAATTAACTGAATAAGAGTATTAGAGTTGGAAGTCATAGGTAACTCTCAGGTTAGGACTTTGTGGCTGAAGAGTGGCTTATTACTGCTAGAGGTAGAGACTGAGAGCCAATAGTGCTTAATATATTACATAACTATATTATAGGAATTTATGATGTGTGTGTATCTCTCCAGGTGGCATCTTGGACAAAATATTGGGCAGCCTTGTGTGGAACACAGCTTTTTTACTATGCTGCCAAATCTCTGAAGGCTACAGAAAGAAAACATGTAAGTATTCTTCCTCTAAATTTTTAACATTGTTTCACAGCCTCTTTGTAGATATAAAGAAAACAGTCCCAACAGGATGCAAGAAATGTTTAGTTTTCCCATATTCTAATCTAGAAGTTCTTATACTTATTCCTGGAATGAATACTGTAATGGAATTATTTTTATTTAGTAAGACCATTCCAAGGAAAGTCTTGGAATAACCTCTATTTTGAGGTTTCTTTTTTGAATACTATTTTTCCTTTGCAGATATCAAAATTGCACGTTACAAAAATCTGTCTTGGCATCAAAGCTTTCTCAAGCTGAGTTTTCTGGTTCAAAACTGTTGCCTTGTAGTCTCAGTTCCTAGTATGTAAAATGTGAAAACCTGGGACCAACATCTGGAGTTCTTTGTATGTCAGTCTCTGGTACGGTGACTTCCCCACCAGTGAAGAAGAAAGAGTGATCACAGCAGTTTTGTCATATCAACATTCTCGCTTTGTATTACGTAAAATAATACAATGCTCGCAATGCTGTTTTTGTCAGGGTAGAATCTTCTGCAAATCTCTTGCATGCTGTTTTGTTTCATATGCCAGTGATGCACTCTTTAAAAGGAAGAACAGTTTCCCACGCTACATTAATAGAATGCTTTTGAGAGGATCTTATTTCTAAACCATGTATTGGGGAGGGGGGAGGGGATTAAATGATTTACCCTACTGAGGAAAAAGTGAGCCAACTAAAGGAAAAATGTCAGTCCTTTTTGTATTTAAAAGTTTTGTAAGTGATAGTGCATAATTCACAGAAGCTCTTTATTCTCAATTTTAGTCCTTTAATCAAACCAAAGTTATGGAAGGGGACATTTTATAGGGGCCATAAGATCTCATAGCCTGCCTTACCAGCATTCTCCCTGTCACTGCCTAAATTTCATATTAATCATTGCTTGCTTTTCTTTAGAGTGTTACCATCTATGTTTCCCTAATTAATACATTGTGGTTTTGAATTTTGTGGAGTTTATTTTGTGGGTAGTGCTAGATATTGAACTCAGGTGTCTTATGCTCTACACTGAACTACACCCCCAACTCCCAAAATCTTTTTGTTTGTTTGTTTGGTTTTGGGGATTGTGGGGACAGGGACTAGAATTTGAACTTGGGGCTTCATGTTTGCAAAGCAGACACTACCGCTTGAGCCAAACCTCCAGTTCATTTTTCTGTGTTTTTTTTTGTTTTTTTAAGATAGGACCTCTCAAACTATTTGCCTCAGGTTGGCCTCAAACTGTGATCTTCCCAATGTCAGCCTCACAGGTAGCTAGGATTACAGGCATGAACCACCAGCACCCAACTTTTTTAGGTTTTTTGGTTTTTGGGTTTTTTGAAATAGGCTCTTGCTGTGTAACACGGGCCAGCCTCAAACTCAAGGTCCTTCAGCTTAGCCTCCGAGTGCTGGGTTACAGGTGTGTACCACTGTGCCCATTGGAATCATATATTCTTAAGCAGTGGCTTCTTTGTTCACTATTATACTTATTTAGATAGGCACTATACTCAGGTAAAGAACTTAGTGATCATGGAAACTCATTCTGTGCATATTTATTTTTTGTACTCTATTTGTGTAGTCAAATAGTTTAAAAATGAAAGCATTTTCATCATTAAGTAATGATGTGTCCAAACCCTGCAGGGTTATACTGATCAGTTTCACTAGAACATTTTACAGAGTGATTGACTCCAGTTACTACTGCTGTACTCCAAGGGGGAAAAGGTTGAGATGGTTAAATTAAGTCCTTTGTCTTCAGATACAGAGAAGTAATTTTTCACACACCATTTTGAGATACTTGTTGACTGGGTTTCACTTAATGTTCACTATTATAAAGAAGTAGCTTTTCAAAATAAAATTTGGGGTTATCTTTCCCTAGCTTTAATTAGAGAACAAATTAGAGAATTTATAACTGAATTTGTCATATATGTATTATGACAAATATACATATTTGTATATGTTAAGTATGATTTTCTGTTTGGCACTGCTACTTATGCATACTAATATATACTAATATTATAGTTTGGAGTTGACTATATGAGGTTTCTAAATAATATATATGAAATAATTTAGAAATTATAGTGGGTTGTAAGAAACTAAAAATGAGAACCAAAAAATACTATATTCTTCATCTTTTCTAAATGAGACTGTTCTGGACAGCATAGAAGGCCTGGAGACAGGACTGTGTCATTATTTGGTATTAATTTTGGGATGAAAAGTGATATGAGACAGAACTAAAAGCAACCAAGGAAAAATGTTTTTAAATTTTTTCAAAGTTAAAATACAAATAAATTGGAAGAAAAATACATGCTATAGATTAGCAACAGATAGGGATTAAAATCATAAGTAGATACACCACCACCTATATTGTGTTCTTTCCAAAATACTTAACCCGAGTCTTATTGTTAGAAAATGGAAGGCAGAGAGACAGCTTAAACACCAGCCCAGGGTTTATTGTTCGGACAGAAGCCCTGTGGAGAGGGACCCCAGCAAGAGAGCTAGAGCCCACTGCCACACACAGGGTAGGGCTAGATACAGGGGGCTAGTGGAAAAGTACCAGGAAGGTCACTAAGGGATACCATTGCTGGGCAACCAAGAAAACTAAGTTGTAGTTACTCAGCTGTCCTTGGCACCCATCCAGGGAGTTAAAGGTTAACAACTGTCCCTTTGTCAGTCTTTGGGGTTAGGTGGGTAGTCCTAACCCCAAGGGGGGGAGGGGATCCTGTTCTAACATGGCTGTCCTCACTGTTAACCCAAACACTTACCATGATGTAATCAAATTCCCTTTGTGGGATATTGTTCAAGACATGCCTGGATTCTTAAAACAGATCAAAACTTTGCAAGTGGGATTATGGGTTGAGGGCAGGAAGACTACTCTAGATTGAAAGATACATGATGGCTAAACGCAATGTGTGTACCTTGGTTGAAACCTGAAGTTAGATATTTTAATATTTTCTCAAATACACTTTTTTTAAATTTGCTGTTGAGAAGTAAGCTTGGGAAGAATGGTTGAGGTGAGAGAAAAGAAAATATTTTGTTCCATCTCTATTTTTGAATGTTTAAAAATGAATGCATATTGCTGTGTGGTGGAACACTCCCAGTGCTTGGAAGGCAGACGCAAGAGGATCTCAAATTCAAGGCTAGCCTGGGCTACATATCAAGATCATATTTAAAAAAAAAAGGAAGGGAGCATAGTTTTTAGTGAAAGTGTATTGTTTGTAAAAAAAAAATAATTTATTTATTTGTTTGCAACTGTTTGAACCTATCATTACATGATAATGAGTGAATAAATATTGTTTGAAATTTTAAAAACCAAATACACCCTTGGGAAAAAGTGTGTGGTATACATACGTACATACCTCCCATGACTCAGTACAAATAAAATGGAAAAAGGAAAATAAAAGATGAACTGCAGATGGCTGATAAACATGCAAAAATGATCAACCACAATAAGTTATCAAAAATTGCAGATTAAAGAAGACACTTTTTGTCATTGGACAAAAATCTGGAAGTTTGATGATACTGCATTAGCCATGGTATAGGAAACATGGATTCTCATCCATGATGATCAGAAACATAAATTGGCATTGCTTTTATGGGAGGCAGCCATAGTCAGTATTTACCTTAATAATGACTGCAATTCCTCATCCAAGGATGTGTCCTACAGAAATCCTTGAACAAATACACAAAGACGAGTATATATCTTTCTATACATAAAGCTGTCTGTGGTGTTTCAACAGCAGAAATCTGAAAACACCCGAGATACTTAATACCAAGAATACTTCACAATAAGGAAACAGTTACTAGAAGATAAAAATACAAGGCACAGTATTAGCATATAGAAAAACCAACAGCAACAATGACACATAAAAGCCTCTGATCAAAAAGGCCGCTGACAAGTTAGACAGCTTTTTCATGTTTATTGGTTATTCATGTTTTTTCCATGAAGATAAGTATTTTGCTTATTGTAATTGTTAAAAGTTCTTCATATGTCCCAGATAAAAATCTATTAGCAATTAGAGGTTGTGAATATCTTCTTCCAGTTTGTTTTGACTGTTTAATCTCCTTATGATATAGTTTAGCAGCCTTTTTTACATACTGCTAAGTTCAGTTTGCCAGTATTTCAATTTTTTCATTTATTCATGAATGAGATTAACTTCATTTCTTATTTTATGGTAACCTTTCTCAGGGTTACAAAAAGTATAAGAGAATAGCTAACTGTAAAGGTAACAAGCATGCTAAAAATATGCCCCCCTCCTCTTGTTTTTGAGAAATACTTTAAGAATTGTCTAATAGCATTGCTGGTTTATGATCTCATCAGGTTTAAGAATGTAAGTATTTCCTAAAGCTATAGTAGTATATCTAGGAAAAACAGCATGGATGATATTATCACATTCACTGACAGTGGAGAACAAGACCCAGTGAATCTGGGAAAAGTCTGGAATGTAGGAGGCTATCCAAAGGCTGTGTGCCTCAATGCAGCTTAGTAGTGAAAAAGTCCCAGGCTGACCTGGACCAGAATGAAGTCACAAGTTTTCTCTCATTAGGATTGAAAACACTGTCCTGCCACTTAACTTTTATTTAGAATGAACCATAAGACTCCTTGATTTGTTCACAAATTATCTTTTTATCTCAGTTCAAATCAACATCAAATAAGAATGTATCTGTAGTAGGATGGATGGTGATGATGGCTGATGACCCAGAGCATCCAGACCTCTTCTTGCTGACTGACTCTGAGAAAGGTGAGTTGTTAGAAAGACCAGGGGTTAAAGTATTGTGTATACATAACTTTTGATGCCCAAACCCAGTTTAATTGAGATACTCAAGGACGAGTTTGTGTGGTTTTATCTGTTGAGAAGAGCCGATTTTCCATACTTCATGGGAATAAGCTTGAAAATCGAAAGCACAAGTAATCCCTACAGGGATTGGGGGGTGGGGCAGGTTTGAAACTTTATCACTTTAAAATCTGAGATTATACCCTACTGTAATAGGGTGTTATTCTCAAATTCTGTAAGTACCAGTTTTCCTTTGAATAACTTATTCTGTTACTCTAATTGATCATTTGGCTCAGATCCTTAAGTTAATTAAAATACTTGACATATGATATATAGAGACATTTATGAATACAATAATTGACTATTGACCTTGAATTTGTAAAATGAATGGGAAAAACTGGAGGATGGGCTGTGTAGCATCACATCACACCTCCTGGCCCTGCCTGTTCCTTCAGTGGATACCACTGGAACCATCAGGAATGATCCTGTAGTGGTTGCTACTCTTCCTTCATAGCAACTGCCAGCTGTTGACAACACAACAAAGGAGGTCAAGAAAGAAATCATCCACTCCAAAACCTTTTAGTGATTTCACAACTGCAGTATTATCTTTTGTTGATGTCACAACTATATATTGACCTCTATTTATTCAGATGCCATTTTGAATCAACATACTCTGCTTTTAGGATATTACAGAGTTTTAAGTAAAAACTTAAGTCTATATGTTGGATACAAAAATGTCTTGAGGTAAAGTGATTTACAGAGTAAGAACTCCCTACTCAACATTCTTAATTTACAGCCCCTCAAAAATCTAAAACATTATTTATAAAGTGCATTTTAAAATGAGATCATTTTCATTGGATTTTGCTAACAAATTTGTTTTCCTTCAGTCTTCCTTAGTATACTTAACAGAACTATTTCATAGTAACTGAGGTTTTTCTGACGTCTATACTGAGGTCTTTGGCGGGGAGGGGCAGGGTAGGTACATTGTCACTGTGACCAGCTTAATTGTAGGGATGCTTTTTATTCAGAATGACCAGATGTCTGTGTCTGAGTTCAGCAAACAAAACAATAGTATCTGACTTACTGAACATTTGGTGAAGAAAGAAACAATTGCTTCTGAAAGTGAAAAAGGTTTTTGAATGTTAGACTCTCAAAAAAAAGCCATATAATGCTTAAATAAAATCAGGCTCTTGAGTCAATGAATGCAGTTATAAAGGAAAGAGTCTAGATCAATGAAAAAAGCAAATCTAATCTTAGAGTAGCTTATAGTACGCAAATCTCTGTTTATTCCCTACTCATATTTGTAGCCATATAAAATATCCTTTATTATGTGACACTCTTGACACACTGATAGTCAGTTACAGGAGCTACTGAATACCCACAACATAGGTGATTTCTAATTTCCTAAAAGAGAAGTGGTATCTCCTTAGATTTTCACTGAGAGCCCCAGCAGAACCAGAGATCTGCAATAATCTTGGCAAATAAAGGCATAGCTGTCGTTTAAGTGGTAGAAATATTGAAGCATTTTAGCATGTAAACACTTGGTACTAACGCTTACTATTTAGATAGTCTTGAGAAGTATCAAGAGCCATTATCTTGCAGTTTTATCCACACATACAAATCTAGAGAAGCCACACAATTATTTTACTTAGATACTATTTTTAAGGAGCCATAATTATAGTGACTTTTGTGGATGTGTGTTGTATGGGGAACCCTATATTGGGAAATTGGGTATAAATGAATAGAAATCTGAAACTGAGAACTGTACTCATATTTGGTTCACTCTTTTATGTCTAGCAGAATTATGTGGCATAGTCCTTAAATTTTTATTTATTTTCACTCGCTTTTGATAATTTTAGGAAATTCATACAAGTTTCAAGCTGGCAGTAGAATGAATGCAATGCTGTGGTTTAAACATTTGAGTGCAGCCTGCCAAAGTAACAAACAACAGGTGAGCATTTCTCTGAATTCTCAGAATAATCCGTAATTTGGTAATATATTGAAAAGTTCCAATGAGCAGTGAGTATACTAGTTGTCGTTTTCTTTTTTTCAACAGGTCTCATAGCTCTAAGGTTCAGGCTGACCTGAAACTCATTATATAGTCCAAGCTAGCCTCAAAGTCATGAACCTCCTGCCTCTGCCTCCCAAGTACTGAGATTACAGGTTGACTAAATTTCTTAATGAAGTAGGAAATGATGTGGTTTTTATTCATCTTATTGACAACAGTCAGTAAGACATGAAGTCTACATTTTAGACATAAAACTAGTAAACAAAATTTCAAATAGTAAGAAATATAAAACAAGCATAATATGATATAGAATTAAGAAAGTAGAAACAACTTTAGGTAAATAAGTTGCATAGCAGACCTCTCCTTGACATGATATTGACATGAATGATACAAGGAACAGGCCACGTAAAGATGAGTGAGAGCAGAGAGCTGAACCACAAGAGACCCTGAAGCTAAGGTGCTCAAAACAGAAAGCCAGTGCTGGTAGAATGTAAGCTCTAAAGGGTATAAACTAGGTAGCATTTTAATTAAAACCATCCTAATTTATCTTTAATCTACAACTTGAGGTAGTTTGTGGAGTTTAAATGAAAAGCCCATTCTTTTTTAAGTATTGCTGGAGTGGGCTTTGTTGTAGTAATTTTAATTATATATAAAGGACCAATAGCGACATTTGGCACCATTTTTAGCTCAATTTCTTTTACCATAGTAGTGTAAAAGTGTATTTTTTTTACTGCTAAACAAGTCAAGCAGATGCACATAAATGGGTTTTTTTTTTCTGTATTTGCAACAATCAGAGTGGTAGCAGATTTATAAATAAATAAAACGTGAAGTTTGAAACATTTTAGAAGTCTGACTCAAATGCAAAATACTTAAATCACATTCAAGCAACTTGGAAAGAAATGAGATCTTATTTAAATATGGATTTCTTATAACCAGACTTGCACATGAGCATTCGATTGCATTTGATTTATAATTCAGTTATGATTGTATTGTGCAACAGGATTTTTCATTCACAAGCTAACACGTGTAAGATGCTCATGGTTTTGAGTATAACAGGTTAACAGGTTTCAGAAAGACTGCTGACTAGGGAGAGCTGTTGGGTTGTATTAAAGGCTGAGATGGAGAGCACTGCCGTGAGAGTAGCTCTGCCAGCACAACTTTGGGAACCTGCTTTAAGGATTAAGAGTGTTTTCTGTAGACCTTAGAAGATTCAACTAATTTTTTTAAAACAAAGCATATTTTAGAGATTGCTGTTGAATTTCACACTTACAAGAAATCAGATTAAGTACAAAATAATCTATAATCAGTGAAGTATTACATAACCTATTAATTTTTCAGTCATAAACTGTCAAATCAGAATTTATCTAATGAATTTATTCTTTCAGACTTACTTTCATGATGATTTCACAGAGAAGTCCTTAATCATGTTTCTTACAGAATTGTCTGTACTGGTTTTTTAAATGTTCATGTAGGAATTCATTATAACTTAAAATGGATTATGTCAAGCATTTTCCTCTGGAATTTCACATTACACATATTGAACTCTTCTTTCCATTCATTTATTCATTTCTATAAACAAGAAAGATACTGTCTCTGCCCTTTCCACATCCAAATACCAATTTACTTGAAATAACTAATCTCAATGATTTTTCTCTAAAATGTTCTAGTGTGTTTTATTCATTATTCATAATTTATTATATTACCTTCTATCAAATTCCTTCTAAAAGATATTTATAGCTGGCGCCAGTGGCTCACACCTGTAATCCTAGCTACTTGGGAAGCAGGGAACAGGAGGAATACAGCTCGAGGCCAGTCCAGGCAAATAGTTTTCACAATCCTGTCTCAAAAATATCCAGTGCCAGAAAGGGCTAGCAGAGTGGCTCAAGTGGTAGAGCGCAGCTTAGCAGACATGAGGCCCTGAGTTCAAACTCCAGTACCACCAAAAAGTAAAATAAAAAAATAAAAGATTATTTAGGTCTGAAAGATTTGGGCTTGCCTAAATAACATGGAAAAGATAAGAAATACTAGTTGAAAAACAGCTTTTAACAATCAGTTTGTAATTTTTTTTTTTTTAGGTTCCTACAAACTTGATGACTTTTGAGTAAAAGCCTGAGAAAGAAGAGTTGAACCATTACCCCTTGGTGGGAGTGGGGACCTGAAGAAAGGGCGCCAGTTGCAAACCATCCCGTGCCAGAAAGAGCCCTGAGCTCCATCTCAGCTTGGAGTTCTGAACCAAAAAGCACTAATTTCAGGGAATGAAGTGAGATATATTCCAAGAGAACAATAGAGTTGGCAAAACAAACTGCCATGAACCATGCTTCTTATCTCTGAACTGACCTGTGGAAACCACTGCCTTAAAAGAATGAAAGGAAAACCAACATGATACACCAAATAGTGTGTGTGAATCTTATGGCGGTGCTGTGTTTGGAATAGATTGTAGCTAATTTGCATTTATTTTAACTTTGTACTAATTTTGGAGGGAGGAACCACCTTTTTTAGATACACTTTAAAAAGGAAAAACATTTCTTATGGATTACATCAGGAACTGGCTTTGAACTAATATAGTAGGGATTATACCAGCAGCCCCCTCTTCCTCCTCCCCCCACCCCCAGCAAGGTTTGTTCAGCCTGCAGAAGTGTGCATCCTCACTTGTTTCCTCACAGCAAGAGTGTGGGAATTACAAATGTTGATAATGTAAATTGTGGTTTGTTTGGGATTGAGGGGGGGTGGTTTTTTTGTTTGTTTTGGATGAGGAGAGATCTTTTTAAACACTAATTTCTGAATTTAGTACATACGGGGAACATTGTTTCCTGTCGGAGGCACAAAAAACAAAGTGTTCACATGCCAGAGTTTTTTTAAAGTAGGCCCCAGAAAACATGGTTGTTTTTAACTGGGTTTAAAGTTTAGCTTCCTCTATGAGTTCATTGTAGGTCAGACCACATATCTGGTAGAGAACTATAATCCCAAAATAGTTTCCTGAGGTTTTACATTAGTTAGGTTTTTTTTTTTTTTTTCAAGTTAATTGGATTATCCTTTCTCCCAGTCACAGATGATTTTTATCATCAAAGGCTGGTAATATGGATATTTTCTTTAACAGTGTTTAATGTGCATAATGCCAGAGTTATTTTTTATTCATTGTTGGCTTAAGATTCAACATCATATTCGTTTAAAAGATTCTTTATTCGTGTGTATGTATTTTACCATAAGACAAAATAATTTTAAGAGTGATAAAGGCTAAAGTTTGAGGTTCTACAAATTTTAAGTCTCATGCCTTTCCTCCTTATATGACTTACCATAAGCATACCAAACCATTTTCCTAAAAGCTTACTTATAGGTCCCTGACACCAACCATAATTTGTCAGTAATTGACCAAGCAGTCTTAAGAGAGCTCTTCTATGCAATAATGCATTCAATAGCTAACAAATGCTGACCTTAAAAATGAAAAGTTTGAAGATGAGATACCTTAGAATAAAAAAAAAAAAAAGAAAAAACACTTGAATAAAGATTCTATTGAATGTTACAAACTTGTGAGGCATAAATTTTAGTAGTGGCCCAGAATAAGAAAAGCATTTTGACCGGTACCTATTAACCGACTTCTGTTACTTTGGGCCTCACATGAAGTTCCTCACACTTGTATTCTTAAAGAATTGTATACTTCTTTAAAAGTTGTATTTTACCCTTAAGTCAATTAAACTTAAGTAGAAAATACTGCATATACAATAAGTAGCTAAAAATCTCTCCAAAGGAAAGCAAAAAAGCTTTTTCTGAGTGTTTTTAATTTAAAGGTTTCAAATGTGTTTCTCATATAACAGTTAGAAGTACATAGTGACATAGGCTACAGAGTGCAAGTATTGCCTGTGGTGAGTGATTTTTCAATTAATCTACGCTTAACCCATGTTGGGTACACATAGATACCATCTGCATAGCCAGCAGTATTACTGTGTAGACCTTGCACATCTTTTATTTTGCATTTTTGAAAATTTCTTTATTTTTGTTCATAAATAACATTTTTAATAGTATATGTGCTTTTTAAAAAATACTGTAAGTTAGAACCCTGTGGATTTTTTTCTTACTATTTTGTCTTGAATAAGCTAAAACAGATACATATTGGAAGTTAACTATATCTGTGGAGATAGCAATTCAAAGTCAGAGCCTGACATCACACAGTTTTGCCAAAGAGAGAGCACTAAGATGGGAGATGGGTTTGATATTTTCAGTTCTAAACATTAATGGATGCTTTATAGAATAAGAATGGTGTCCCATATTTGAAATTCTGGCCTTTGAAATTCTTAAACTTCAGTAGAAATAATTTTTCTGTCATCAAATTTGTTCATTCAAAAGATTAGTCATAGCTTTTTGGGATTATTTTAGCATTTGAAACAAACTGAAGCGAGTGAGAAGTGAATTGAAATAGTGTGGGTGAGTTTTTGATCTTCAGTTCACAATATGATACCTAATTATAATCCAGGCAATGACAATATAAATCACCAAACTACACTAAATATTTGGGTAGTTTATTAATGAGAAAGCAAAACTTCTTATAAAACCAGCCTTCAATTGTAAATTAGTGACTTAGTAACTCAAAACGCCCATCAGCATCAAGCTTGTTTCTAATGTAGCCAGGAGGAACTCATTAGAAATTCAAGAAAATTTAAGTCATTTGTGAGCATAATGACTGGCATATTATATAGCGTGGGTGGTGAAATAAAAATATTAAAGTTAATTGCATAATGATCTTCCCAAGCACTGTTTTTGGTTTCATTCCCCGTGTTCGTGTTAGGACTTTTTTTCAGAGTATTATTTTTATTATAACCTCTAATCTCTAAGAACTGAAGAGAATTGATGAAACACATGTTCCTCTGTTTTCTTCAGTGTGTGAATATCATTTGTGTAAACATTATAGAAAGGGATCCAAGCAGTTTGAGTGGTTTTTGTCTCCTAGGCATGTGCTTCAATGACACATACTTTCCTGTGTGGAAAATTGCAATTGCAGTACCTTCTGTATAGATTGTATTGGTATTGGGTAAGTTTATGTCAAGAGTCAGGGTGTTTATAGCTGCAGTGTTTTTGTAAGTGGCTTTTATTCCTCTTCTAGAAGATTTATAAAAGAGCCCAAGAAATGCTATTGCTATGGGAGGAAAAAATGTTTACAGCCTCTAGCAGACCTATGCTACTTGAAGCTGGTACCTCTTAGGAGCATCCAGTGAGTTTGGGTATTATTAGCATCCACCTGTCCAAGTGACTTTAGCCTGTTTTTTTTTCCAAGGTTAAATCTATAAGCTGTATACGTTTATTACTGAAAACAAAACTATGGGGCATCATATTAATTGGAAGTAAATACTAATAGTAGATTTAATACATTGGCTTTTTAAAAAAAATATATCCTCTGTTAATTTCCTTCCTGGTTTTTGAGACACATTCCTTTACAACCAACTTTTAAACCACCAAATTATCTTCTGTAAACAAGGACTACTAGTGTTGCGTAACAGAAGATGATCTTTAATAAAGAGTCTGCTTGAAAGGCTTTTAATTGGATCCCTCTTTGAGAATGAAGATGCACAGCGGAACACTAGTACTACTGTTGCATGATATAAATAAGGCGAATGATGAGGTTTGTCTGACTTCTTTTAGTTACCTTTTAGGGATTTGCTTTTATTTCATCCCTTTTGTATTATTTCTTTCAAACATTTTACAGTGAGAGTGGTATTCTGTGTTTTCTAAGCCTCTGAGATACAAAAATGGTAAATTACTTTCTTTTGTGAACCTTCACCTTTTCAGAATGATTTAAGTACCTTTTTATTTTGCTAACCTAAAAATGGCTTGTGTCTAAAGTGACTTCTATTTAGAGGGCCCTAATGAAAGAGATCTGTGCATAGAAACCCTTCAACTTACTGAAACAACTTAATTTCACCTGTATCTCCAGTTTTAGTATAGGGAAAATTTGACCAGTGCCTTATCAGTTTGAAGACCAATTTTTAGGGCATTGAGCATGACAATAACCATTTGGCCTCTTCCTCCTCTTACCTCAGGAGTATGTTGGCCCCCTTTCCACAGCTTAATCCTGCAGCAAGCCTAAGGAAGTCTGATGGCAGTTCTCCTTGGTTACGGAGTCTTTTAGAACAAGCTCCCACCTCGCTTCTGTCTTTTCTAGGTAGGAGATTAAAAGTAAATCCAATCAAATCAAACTTTAAATAAGCTAAGCACTCTTAAAAACAACTTTGAAGAACATTCATCCAGCTGGATTCAATTTCTTTTTTCTTTTTTGTTTTGAAAATAGATTTAATGATAAGGCCTTTTGTGAAATCTCTAAAAGAACAAGATACATGTAGAACAATTTGTTGGGGTTTTATTAGAGCCATTAAAACACTGAATGACAGTCCCTTTGGCCACAAGTGAGATTTACTTCAGTTCGTTCTTAAGTTTCAGAACAAACAAGTACACATTTAACCTTGCAGTTACTGTTTACTTGAAAATATTGTGCAAGTGAAAACACCAACATATAAATTAAAGGGAAATTAAGGGACTAAATTAGCTTTCTCAGTAAAAGCAAGGTTTGGAAATACTTTGCTTCTCTGAAATGATTGGAAGACTTCGAGCTACTGTTGTTTATCTGCACTAGGATCCTATCTTCACGTTTTTTAAAGGGCTAGTGTGTTCCAGGGTAGACAGACATAGTCTTTAAACCCAAATGAGAGTTAACTGGTCCTTGAGGGTTATTAGAATTTAAAATGTGATTCTAGCCATTTGGACAGAAAATCAATGTTAGGGTTAAAAGAATATATAATTAGAGTGCTCTGGGATGAAACTTTTCTCTCCCTTAACAGAAGAGCAGAAAAATTCATAAATACTCACTTGTGCTCTAAATACCGGCTAACAAATGTTGTTTGCCCTGAAGATGCCACCTGCTAGAACTCCTCACAACATAGTCCAGTAATTGCATAAGTAGGACTGTAAAATAGCTGATAAGTTACCAAACTCTCAAGTGTTTTAACACCTTAATTGGTGACATTCATTGCTTAACAGCCAAGGGAAATACCCTGGGGAATTGGGAATCTGGTTCACAGCATAATCTAAAAGAGACTAAATGTGTAGGGAGAAGTACCCAATGATAGCATACAGGAAAATGCAAGCCATTTTTATTCTTTATCCCAGTTAACTTGAGGTACTCTAATGATGAAGCACTTAATTGCATTATGACCTCCTTGAGTGATGTGCAACTTGGTTCCTCTCTCATTTTTTGTTTCCTTTTAATATGCAAATGTGAGTGTGTGACCTTCATTCAGTGTGTTTGCATAAGCTAACTTTAAATGAATTTAAGAACAGTTTTCTGAAATATTTCTATGGAAATAAATCACTTAAAACGATAGATTGTGTGAGGATGTTTTGTTAAACTTTTATCATTAATTTTTAAAGTGCAAATCAACTGTAAATTGATTTTTTTTTTCACCTTTCAAAAGTAGTCATCAGAGATTGCTGCTACAGGAAAAGTTCTGGCTGAGTAAATTTTAGTTGCCCTTTTCTAGCCCAGAATGAGAATGTACCCTGTCATGCATATAGAGGGGTTTTGGGACATAAATCATAAGTGTCTAATAATCTTCACACTGTGGATATCAGCAGTCCCCATTGCTGATATGAGGTCCTAAGACCTCATTACAAATACTGTGTTCATAGGTTTTAAGACATGACATTTTTAATTCTACCATCTCTGAAAACAGAACCTGTTGTCAGCCTATGGAGCTTTAAATCAGTAGCAGTGTTAGTCTCCTGGAAGACATTGGCTGGGTATTTGTTACACCCTACCTTACAGAATTCCACATAAGCCCAGAAGATTTGGGAACCTCCTAGCTAGGGCTAAATGCCCAGGGTAACCATAACAAGTTTCTTACCTTGTTTAGTGGCCTTTGAAGAGTCTCGTTGTTTTACAGGAACCACAAGAGAGTGACATTTCACCAGTGGTGTCCACCTTTCTTTAGTTCACACAGTGCCAACTTTGTCTTATAATAATTTTCCAGATACACATATTTCTAGGTTCCATTTACTACCATATTGTCTTCATTACTGGGTAGATACCTTAAATATCTGTTGACATAATTGTGTGTTCTTCAAAATTGCCTCAGATATTCTTGATGCTTCCCTGTGAATTCTAGTATCAAACTAGTCATGTTCCATAAAAACACTGTAGTTTTATTGGAATTGCTTTGGATTATAGATTGAGAATTAACAATTTTTAAATGTTTTACTCGTTTCACCTATAAGCATAAAATGGCTCTCCATTTATTTAGGACTTTAGATACTCTAATAATATTTTACTATTTTCTCTCTAATGGTATTTTACATCTTTTACTTATGTCTGATAAGTTACTTTTTGTTTTTACAGTGGCTTTTTTTACATTTCCTCACTGGTTATTACTGTGCATAGGAATGCTATTGATTTTTACATTCCATCCTTATATCCATTAACCTTTTTGAAATTGTTTAGTTCAGATAGTTTGTAGATTTTCTTGGAATCCTGTTAACTGCAAATATGAACAGTTGTCCCTTCCCAATTTTTTTTATCTCATCTCTCTTAATTTGGCTGGGACTGCAGGACAGTACTAGGTTAGACAGCATGTCAAAGAATGTTAATTACCCAGTCTGAACCCTATGCTTGTTCTGTTACAACATAGCCCAGATATATTGTTTTTCATTTTATTTTTAAGCAAACAGATTTTTTGCTTAAATTTAAACTTAAATTTCTGCTTTTGTGTGTGTGTGCGTGTGTGTGTATGTGTGTGTGTGTGTGTGGTACTGGGGTTTGAACTCAGGATACACACCTTAAGTCACTCTTAGCCCTTTTTTGTGAAGGATTTTTTTGAGATAGAGTCTTGCAATCCTTCTGATCTCTGCCTTCTAAGTGGCTAGGATTATAGGCATGAGCCACTGGCGCCTGGCTTTTTTTGTTGTTTTTAAATGCATGTTTATACTCTGAGGCAGAAAATGGACATTTACTTTCAGCCACCACTGGATCACTCATTAATGTTATCCAGTGTCAATACTAAATAAAAAGGTTGGAGGCAGGGCTCAAGCAGTAGAGTACCTTGTCTAGCAAGCACAAGGTCCTAAGTTCAAATCCCAGTACCACCAAAAAAATTAAATGAGATACTGAGCCACAGGATATTGCAAATCTAGGGTATCAACTTGTAATTAAATCACTTTCTCTATGCTATTGGTTCTCAAGTTGTCCCTCAGGAGATATCTGTCAGTATCTGGAGACGTCTGGTTGTCACAACTGAGGATTCTGCTAGCACCTAGTAGGTAGAGAGACGGGATGGTGCTAAATATCCTACAGGTGTAGGACCCTCACCCCACCCAACTCCAACTAAAAATTGTCTGTTCCAAAGTATAAGT